CTAGAGGCTCCGCGGCCAGAGGGGTTTTACTGGCCCGATTTTACGTGTAAAATTGTTGCTAGTCCCCCGCGCGGAGTCAAACAAATTGTGATATAATATTTGACCTAAATTAAGATTAAAATGTTGAAAAACTTCTGCCATGTGTGTGTTTTGTTTCTTTTTTAATGAAATAATCGAGAAAAAGTATAAAAAAATGTAATAATATTTCAATATTATTATTATACATGTTATATATATATATATATTTAATTGTAATGATAAATAATATGGTTATAAAATGTCGCCTTTAGTTAACTAGGGTGGTTTGTATCACCCGTAAGGCTAAAGCACGCATAGCAGCGCAGAAATTAATCGTCGTATAACAGAACGTATAACACGTGTCATTAAAGAAAGATGTCGAAAATACCGACACAAGACATTCTGTCTCACTCGCACGTTACTTATAATAGTATGTGCGAGAGGGACAGAATGTATTACGTCGTCATCTGCGATTCCTTTCCTTATGACACGAGTTTGTGAATTTTATATGAAGTGAAATATAATTCACTAAAGCTCGCGGGAATCCTGCGGTTCGTCTCTGCGGTGATATGTGTCCTTTAACCTTTAATTATGTATGTTTTCTGTAATTTGTTGTTGTATATTGCACACTGTATAACACTAGTTTAATTATTGATGCTTACACATTAATTTTTCGTTGTGTATACATCTGGTAGTGTCGTGACGTCAATGGCGCGTGTTCTAATAGTATTGTCCAATCAATTTGTGCATATTTCGTTCATTTTTAACACTGTGTAAATACATTTATTATTATATTATTATGTTGGTTAACTTTCCTAAATAATAATATTGAACGAAGTCGTCATAAGTATTGTTGGAAATGAACGGAACGCATGCTTGAAATAAAATTATAATAAACTATTTAGTTTTGTAAAAAAAAAAACATTAAACAATCGAGAAAATTTATAAAAAAAAATGTAACACTTTACTAAAAGAAAATATAATAAAACGAAACTGATTTAAATTGCGTTATAATACTTTTATGGGGAATATAAGCCTGTGATTTTGTCTTCGATCAACAATTCTATAGATAACGGGTTGCATACAAAATCTTAGCTAAAAAGCTGTCCGCGTATGTTTAACCTTATGCAGCCACATTCGATTCCCAATAAACATAGACAATTCTTTTAAAACAGTTGTAAGTTGAACCTAATAACAACTATCTCTCAAAGGAATAAGGTTACAAATAACAAAATATTATTTCGCACATACGACCTTTTATCTTAGAAAACAAACTCTTGTTCCTTTTATAAATTATATCTGATACTTGGAAAAAAACCATAAAGGTGAAAAGGGGAAAATGTGAAATCAACCTTATGACCCACAAAATAAAATATGTTTACCAGTCATTGGCCAGCGAGTTACTTCGTTTTGTATTAACCGAACTAATTTAAAATAAGATTTCACGCCTCATAAGAGGCTATATTTACCGAGACGGATTTTATGCGCTATAGAATATCCGTTATCTAAAGAACTGTTCATCGAAAGATTTTGTGGAATGTTTTAATTTGAGGCATTGTGTGATCGGGATATTGACACAGTGTAGCTTTGTATTTGTGAACCCACTTATGTAGATTGCTGTCTACGATCAATAAATGTTATTAAAAATAAACAAATCGTAGTTGTACAAGAATGCCATAGTTGAAAGTTTATAATCATCAAAATATTCCTAATAATGACAGATAAATTTATTAACAATTGTTTGCAATAACCTATCTCTTTAAAGAAATAAGCGTATTGGAGCTTAGTTACTTGATATAAGGCCTAATTTTAGCATTTGAAAGTACTGCTCTCCTTTTCAATCTCCGTTGAGCATGATAAGGATAAGCTACTGTCAAATTAAAGTTTTGCTTAAGACAATCATGCCAGTATTTTCAAAGATCCAATGATGTTGGTTATTAAAAATTATTCAGCAACCAAACTATAATAGGCATATTTTAAACGGGATAAGATATTGGCGTTTTCGCCAATATTTTCGCCCGGTTTGGTGTATAAGTTTGACTAATTCCACGTCTATTAAAGACTTCATAAAAATAGACACATACATTATTAGAGAGAATTTTGATTTATTACAATATTACAGCTACATGTTTCGCTCCGAGTAGGGTTACCATCCGTCCGGTTTAGTCGGGACTTTGTCGAGATCTTTAAATTGTCCGAATTTTAAATTACATTGATAATGAATTATAAAATTACATATTTATTTAAATACCATACAAATTGTAACTGAGTAATGGTACCATTATGTGACTAAAAAGTCCGGACTTTTTTCGTAATGTCAGAACTTTTGAAATTCCTAAATGGTAATCCTAGCTCCGAGGGATTCCGCACTATTCCAGTAAAGTTAGTTTCTCTAACGAACACCGTTTTAGTTCTATTAATTTTGTTGTGTAGTAAACATAGAAGGGGATTAACCCAAAAGTATGATGAATTACGAACAAATACTATGGCGTAAATCCAGTGAAAATAACAATAACATTTATTGACTTTTTATAAAAATCTATCTATTGAATTGAGACAATTATCACGACATGTTGTTACAAGTGATTGTAGGCCTATATAATGTATAATATTAGAACATGTTCATTGCACTTTAGCCTGCATGCACCTGGAACACAGGCAATAGAATGGATGATTATTATTTTAAAATACTCAAGAATTATATGCATACTACTATATTGTTGTAATATGAATACGAGAATTCAATATTTTTGAGATGATTGATTTTAGTGAATTCAAAAAAAAATATGCTTTTGAATTCTCTAAGAGACGAGAATTGATATTGGAATGCGTAAATCTCATTCGTAAATATAAAAAAGCTGTTGTTGTAACTGATAAAATTGTTGATACATTCCTGTTGCATTTTCTCTAAATTAGAGTACAGAGTAGGGTCACCAACTTATTTTTTTTATGAAATATAGTATTTTCGACGCTGTTACCTTAAAAATATAGTAGATGGCAAAAACTAAAATAAAAATAGAATGTGGTTAAAATTTTACTTTATTTTTGAAATAAAGAAATTATCTATATATTTTCGCTGCTATATGACTTAATAATTAAGTTTTTATTTTTAAGAAAGCTTTTACTGACAAAACTCTGCTTTAAGCAAAATATAGTAGTTTCGCCTATTATATATATTTTTTGGAAATAGTATTTGATCCTCTAATATAGTATGGTTGGCAACCCTAGTACAGAGTGAACCTTAATAATGGAAACCATACATTTAGCAATAAAGCTAACAGTGTCACAGACATACATTAACGTATTAACAAAGTTAGTTATACTTGTATCTAAACACAAATATTGAAATAGTGCACAATGTTTTCGAATCATTTAAAATAAGAAATAGATCGCTTCTTAAATGTGAACAAAAAATATGTAATCATTTTGGTTGCGTTTCCTAGAAAGACCATGCTTAAAATTTGTTTTAGAGAATGTGTAATGGAATGTATCCTTATTTTATGTTTACAAATAAGATTTATTCCAAATTAAGGGGTGGATGGCGATTGTCTGTTTTGTGCCTGAGTTTCCACGTGACATATTAAAAACGACTAGAGGATCGTCTACTAAGTCATAATAATTCATGCAAGCAACACATATTTTTCATACTCGAATTGAACTATTTTAACGTAGAAATTCAAGAAATTATTATCCACAATTAATTCCTTAATTCCAGTTAAGTTTTTTAAGAGGAGATAACCGATTTGTAGCCCACAAAATTAATTAGCTGATTGCCACCTAATTTTCATTATTACGCTTAAAAGCAATCTTCATGATTGTACGAATAAAGTTCAAATTTTATTGCGTGGTAGAGTCGTTCATTTAGAATGCAATTATTTGAAAGCGCATGTTGAGATTTCAGCCCAAATTCATTGAGCATAAAATACGCGTTTTGACAACGTGCCCCTAGCAATAGTATATCATAAAACCGTTTATATAGACACGGGCAAACACGGAGAAAATTCTCCATATTCTTGAGGCTATATTTGTTTATCTCAAGACTTTTTAGGCTTGCTCACTCAATTTTATTAACATTTGCTGGCAAATTATAGTTGTATGTTTATATTTAATATTCATTCATGCAAATTGAAGTTACAGCTTTTTGAATGTTAAACGTTGGAATAAGTGACACAACATAGTACACTATACGATCCTCCAGTGGAATAAATAGTAAGAGTTGTTCTTTTGACCGGATGTAACATATTTGATTTACATATTAGACGGTTATATAAGTTTATAGATAATTTTATTTGGGAAAGTAATTTTGGCTGATTTCGAAAATAAAATATTTATAATGCGAAAGCGAAAGTTTGTTTTTGTTTCTTAACTTTTGTGAAATGAAAAAACCCGTTATTTAATAAAAATACAACACTTTATTTACAGGCAAAGTAGAACAGGTTAACAAATAAAATAGGTATATAATAATTATCTATATTTTCTTAAATATATTGTTATATTTCTTTGTAATCGTAATTGGATTACACATGAACTAAATTACATTTTCGAGCTTTGCAAATTCTCATATAGATTCTGATTCCAAAATCCTAGTACATGAGATATATTCATTACTAATCATAACACTTGGAGCGCAGTCTCCATAATAAAATCACTTCCATATGATAACTTAATACTAACAAAAGATTTATTTTAAAGCGCAATTTTAAGTCATATGTTTTGTGGCCAGAGTTGCTTCGAGTACCTGGCCGTGACATCGTAACCATTAAACATACTGTAAATTAAAAATACTGTACTTTATGTCAACTTTGATTGTCAAAGCGCAAGCCTTAGTAATGATAAACAGTCCCGTTTACAGAATGTACCGTTTGGCGAATATAATTTTCAAATTATTACATTTCAAAGTCGTCAAAAACAGTACCCGCCTTATTACAAAGCGTAGGCTTAAGTTAAATCTGGACCGCAACTAATGCTGTCACTTTTGCTTGCTAATAAGAAGACTGAGAAAGCATTATATTTAAACCAAGACTAACTTTAGTTGGAATAAGGCGGTGCAAGTTTAGTATTCGGCTAAAATCAATTGGGATTTTGGTAAAACTTGATATCGCAAGAGTTATACAACAATGAATAGGGATGATGACTAATTTTTTTTTTCTTCGTTTATCAGGTAGATTATCAAAAAGTATTGGACACGTATTTTTTCTTTTTTCACATAATATAAACATGGTAGAGATATATTGATTTGAAAAGTCGCATGACGTCACGTTTGAGTACACTTATAAGTGAAAATTCACTCAAAAGTGACGTCACGAGCCCCTACTCCCAAACTTTGACGCGATATTTCATTTTTTGGTTGATTGCCCAAAGAAAAAATACGTGTCCATTATTTTTGGATCATCTAACTGACGGACTAAATAGAACTTCGTTTACTGTACCCCGTCATCATGCCTATTGTCGATTTGCTCCAGGTCATTCACTTTTAAGTCTATACACCGTGCTCCTCCGCCTCCTGTAGAAAGCTCTCGAATATCGCAACGAAATTGTCTATGCCCTCCCTGAAATTGTCGTCCAGTGCCTTTTCGTCGTCCTCATTGAAGAACACGTGCGCGAAGTCTATGATTTTGACCGTAGCCCACGTATTAGGGGTTGGGAGATCGCTGGACAGTTCTTCCAGTAAAGTTCTATAGTCTGCCTTCATTTTGGTGAGGTTTTCTTCGTAATTGTGATCGAAGGAATGGTTGTGGGTCATTTTGTCGTAGGCTTCTGTCCAGGGGGAGGTCAGGGGAGGATCTGGGGTAGGGGTAGGTGCAGGTCGAGGGGGTCGCAGTTTGTATAGAGGTCCTTTTGGGGCCAGTTGGCCGCCTAAGGGCCCGCCGCCGGAAGGGGGGGCCGTAACTGAGCTGCGACGAGAAGGCGGCGTGGAACATTTAGCGCGCGATCTAGAAAATTCATTTGCGTTAAGAACGAATAAGGAATGGATCCTTTTTTCAGCTTGGCCGTTAAGAAATACACCTTCCGTGGAAATTTTAACTGTATACAGAGTTAGCTAGAGCTAGAACCGTTATCGGTTATTGAGGATACAACAAACAGACGAACAGTGAAGTCTTTGATAGAGTCCCGTTTTTACCCTTTGGGTACTGAACTAGAAATTGTAATTTAAATTTAGATCTCATCACTCATTTGTCACCGTCTAACTGTGGCCACAGTGTTTCCATCAAGTTTAAAAGAGGCAAGTATTCGATACATCAGATTGCTGTATGTTTAAATAAAAATCATGATTTTTCCGTATTACCTAATTTTATTTATTAAAATTTATAGGTAGTTAGTATTATTATACGGCAATGACAAACCTTCCGTATGCCGTATAATCTGAAATTATGAGCTCAAATTGCCATATATTACGGTAATTGCCGTATCAATGGCAACACTGGGCCACAATTCTAACGCGTACAAAGAAATTTTGGAGACTCGTATTTTTGTCGCACTATCCGTAAATGGAATGTTCTGCCTGCTCACGTGTTCCCTCCTAATTACAACCTTTAAAAGAGGCGTGAAGAAGCAACATGCAGGCCAGCAAGGTGAGGATGGCTGGTGTGGCAGGTAGAACTGCTGTACCAGCTATCTTCACGTCGGGACTTCACCGTCACTTAACATCAGGTGGGGTGGAGACATTTGTCGGAACTATCTATAAAAAAAAATATCGAGGAGACTGTAAAGGCATCTCCCAGAGTCCTAAAAAAACTCTTGAAATCTTCAGCACTTTTGAGTATCCTATATATTCGAGGCCAATCGCTGGTTCTTAGGGTTCAGTACCCATAGGGTAAAATCCTCACTCTATTACTAAGACTTCACTGTCCGTCTGTCACCAGGCTGTATCTGATGAACCGATCACGGTTCTAGCTATCAAGCTAGACAGTTGAAATTATTACGGATGGTGTATTTCTGTTGGCTCTATGACAACAAATACGCTATTAAGACAGAATAAAAGCTATATTTAAGGGGGGTCCCCATACAACATTTTTTACGTTTTTTGTTCTATGCCCCGCAGTTTATTAGGGATATTACCCGCAGTAAAACGTAGCCTATGTGTTAATCCAGGGTGTCAGCTAACTCCATACCAAATTTCATTAAAATTGCTCCAGTCGTTTAGACGTGAAGAAGTAACAAACATACACACTTACAAACTTTCGCGTTTATAATATTAGTTTGAGGGCAAGATGTAAGAGGTTGACGCTTGTAACATTCACAGAATATTTAATTGTATATTGACTTAAAAAAATAATAAAAAAATTAAAAGCCCTTTCTCGGCTGGGAAACCGAGTCGCCCGCGTAGCAGGCGAGCTTCCTACCACTGAACCACCGATGCAGGATATTAAGGTAGTATTTTTTTTAATTACAATTAATAATGTAATGCGACATGTTAAAGAAAATAATAAAAGTTTCACTTAAACAAGTATTATTGAATTTGAATATACGTTAGCGCGTTCGGCTGCGATCGTTGAAGTTAAGCAACTTTTGCAAAGGTCGGTCATTGGATGGGTGACCAAAAATTTTTCGATGTCGAGTTCCACCGTGCTTCGGAAGGACGTTAAGCCGTTGGTCCCGGCTGCATCTGCAGTCGTTAGTACCCGCCAATCTGCACTCGGCCCGCGTGGTAGGTCATGGCCTATTCTCCCTATTACATCCATAGGGAAGGCCTGTGCCCCAGCAGTGGGGATATTAATAGGCTGATGATGATGATGATAGCTAGCGGCAAACTTCCTCAGCAAAACCGCAGGGAAATAAAGTACGCAGGCTTTCTTGTCTTTAGTTGTTGCTGAGGTATATACTGGTTTGGTCGCGTCGTACAGTAGAAGCAGCGAGGGGCAGTACAGTCTGTATGTATGAGTGTATACGTTACTGACTCGCAGCAGGCCCGCAGTTTGGTCGCGTCGTACAGTAGAAGCAGCGAGGGGCAGTACAGTCTGTATGTATGAGTGTATACGTTACTGACTCGCAGCAGGCCCGCAGTTTGGTCGCGTCGTACAGTAGAAGCAGCGAGGGGCAGTACAGTCTGTATGTATGAGTGTATACGTTACTGACTCGCAGCAGGCCCGCAGTTTGGTCGCGTCGTACAGTAGAAGCAGCGAGGGGCAGTACAGTCTGTATGTATGAGTGTATACGTTACTGATTCGCAGTAGGCCCGCAGTTTGGTCGCGTCGTACAGTAGAAGCAGCGAGGGGCAGTACAGTCTGTATGTATGAGTGTATACGTTACTGACTCGCAGTTTGGTCGCGTCGTACAGTAGAAGCAGCGAGGGGCAGTACAGTCTGTATGTATGAGTGTATACGTTACTGACTCGCAGTAGGCCCGCAGTTTGGTCGCGTCGTACAGTAGAAGCAGCGAGGGGCAGTACAGTCTGTATGTATGAGTGTATACGTTACTGACTCGCAGCAGGCCCGCAGTTTGGTCGCGTCGTACAGTAGAAGCAGCGATGTGCAGTACAGTTTTGCCCGGGTTTGATGCCGCGCCCAATCCTGTACGCGCCATAGAGAAGCTAGGAGTTGCAGCAGAAGCGAGCGGCAGATGCCGGCACTGCCACAGCCGTTCAAGTACCGCCTAATGGCTGCGGAGTATAATACGACATCAATCTCCAGTGCATTGCAGCCTTAGGCTAGAAAAAAATCGACACGGCCGTCAGGGCCGCGGTAGCATAATGGTCAATGCATTCGCCCGGATAGCGAAGGGTGCAGTTTCGAGTCTCGTCTGCTGCCTGGTCCGCGTGGATTTTTTTCTAGTAATATTTTCTTTAGATTAAATCAATCTCTAATTATTTACTGTGAGACATGCCTAGATAGAGCACCTTAAAGAAAACGGCTCGTGTTACACGCAATAATGCGTGTCTCTAATGTCAGGTTGGTTTGTAAGTCGTAATTGTGCGCGTGTGTAGCGACGAGCGTATCTACCATATGTAGTAGATATTTTGATAACGCTCCAATGCAGTTAATACGATATTAAGGCGTGTATATAATCAAAGCTGTGAGAGTTTAGTTGACACCAAACAAGATTTTTGATGTGTAACATTTTCTCTCGCTTTCCTGCAATTTGAGGGAGTGATTTCGTGAAATGGGACGGAAGTGTGTAACAGGAAGTCGCGAAAGCGCGCGCTATTTGATTCGATTTTAGAGCAATGTTCAAATGGCTTATTCCTTTTGTAGTAGGTTTTATTTCGTGGTGTGATTTTGTGTTACAACCGTCTGCGCAACTACAGAATTAGTGGAATCTTTAAAATATACGCTATTCCGGTCAAGTGGACGTGAGAATTTTGTTGTATGTTGACTACCTCACAGAAGCTTATTGAAAAAGCCAACTCGATACATTCCGTGCCAAACATTCCAAGAAACATTAGAATGCGTCACACCGACATTCTAATGTAAAAAAAAAAAGATAATATAACATAAGTTTAGGCTGTATGGGCAGTGTTCCCTTTGCCTTCTTTAAAAAAAGGTTAAATTGATTGAATGGTTCAGCTATCTCTTTTTTGGCAATGAAGAACGAAAGAGACAAAACTAAACAGTGTGAAGTTCGTTTAATCGAGTCATCGAGCATACGATATCGTGAAAAAGAGCAGTGAAATTCTATACTCGTACTGCGACACAATTCGAAAACGTATAGTTTGATCGAATCGACGAAGACGATCGTTCGTTTCGTATTAAAAAAACTCATACTAAGGGTACAGTAGCCGCGTATGATGTGTAACATTTGAAACCTCACCTTATATTAGTAAAAAAAGAAATAAAACCTACCACAAAAGGAATAAGCCATTTGAACATTATTTTCTAAAATCAAATCAAATAGCGCGCGCTTCCCAAACTTCCTGTTACACACTTCCGTCCCACTTCACGTAATCACTCCCACAAATGGCACGAAAGCGAGAGGAAAGTTACACATAAATAAATCAGTGCATCTATACCATTGTAACTTGTTTAATTTAATAGACTATAAGTGATGAAACATCTGACGACCTCCGTGGCCGAGTGGTTTATACGCCGGGTTTCATGGTGTTGCCAACTCGAGAGGTCTCGGGTTCGAATCCCGGTGGAGGCAGATGTTTGTGTGATGAATACGAGCATTTGTACTCCAATCATGGATGTTTAATATGTATTTCTTTAAAATATACTTATATATGTACTAGCTGTCCCAGCGAACTTCGTACCGCCATAAAAAAATAGGGGTTGGTGGTAAAGGGTGAAAATTTAAGGTTGTATGTATTTTTGTAATATGTATCATAAAAAAAATAAAAAAAAAATATCTAAAAGTGAAAAAAAATTAGGGGTGGATTACCCTTAACATTTAGGGGGATGAAAAATAGATGTTGTCCGATTCTCAGACCTACCCAATATGCATACAAAATTTCATGAGAATCGGGAAAGCCGTTTCGACTTTCGGAGGAGTTTAACCACAAACACCACGACACGAGAATTTTATATATTAGATAAGTATATGTATTCTATCCGTTACCCTAGTATCCCATAACACAAGCCTACAGTGCTTAGTTTGGGGCTAGGGCTAGGCTAATTGGTGTGAGTGTTGAAAATATTTATTTATTGAAGTGAAACTTCTTTATCGGCGTTGGAAAAAAATTTACCGTCACATTTTTTTCGGTTACGCGTCACGTTTTTTGGTTACGCGCCATCTTTTTTTTAAAAGAGCACTATTTACCTCATCCGAACAATTGCTTCCTCTGTTAACTTTAAAAAAAAAAGTATCGACAGCAAATATTCGTGTTTCCCACAAGGTAAGGTAAGGTAAGGTGTAGTTATACCCCTTTAGTGGGTGAGTTTTTGAAAAATCTTAGCGCACGCCTATATATATATTTCTGGAAAGTTGCATGTAGATCATTTTTCGAAAAAATGGTTGCCTGTAAAGTCGGTTTTACGGGCGAAGATTTTACGTGACAACGTCTTTTTCTCGGTAGAATATTTATTGATATGAATATAATTAAATTGCACAATAGGAACAAGGAATTGAATGAAAATAAGAATTGCACAAATTTTAACTATAGAAATATATTTTGTTTACTAAAACATTGTACATGTAAACTTAAACTTAACACGAGAGACTCATCGTAACGTTACCGAGCGTTACACTTTTTCATAAGTGACTCCCAGCCGCAACCTAATTTAAGACGTTGTCACGTCAAAAATAAGGCCATAAAGAAGTTTCACTTCTTACGTGTGTACACTAGTTTGGTCAACAAGCACACATTTTTATTATTATCTCTCACCATCCTTAACCATGTCTCCGTGCAGCTTCTTGCCGTGATCCTTGCCGTAGCGCCTGCCCCGGCCCGTGGCCAGCTCCACCACCTGGTACCCGGGGATACAGAACCCGTACTGCTGCTTGCACAGCGCGTACTTGTTCTGTTCGTTCTTGATCTTCTCTTCTGTCGCGAGTGGGTCCCATGTCCTTCTACCTATACAGATATTGGTAAAACTGGACTTCCAGGAGCTCTACAGAGGAGCTCGATGGCGCAAGTGGTTAGCGCGTTCGGCTGCGATCGTTGAAATTAAGCAACTTTCGCAGTGGTCGGTCATTGGATGGGTGACCAAAAATTTACTATCTCGAGTTCCTCCGTGCTTCGGATGGAACGTTAAGCCGTTGGTCCCGGCTGCATCTGCAGTCGTTAGCACCCGCCAATCCGCACTGGGCCCGCGTGGTGGGTCATGGTCCTATCTCCCTATTCCATCCATAGGGAAGGCCTGTGCCCCAGCAGTGGGGACATTAATAGGCTGATGATGATGATGATGATGTACTTCCAGGACCCAAGAGGTGATAAAAGTTTTTTTTTGTAGAAAAGGTCTCTTTTAACAGAATCTTTTTCAGGTGCTTCACCGGCCGTTGCCGCGGCACCTTCGCTTTGCTCGCTCGGCTCGCACGTTATGGTCACAACACTAACCCAAGCTAGTATGAAGTATCACTACTTGGGCCCTGGAAGTATAGTTTAGCCCAGATATTCTAAAACAAAACAGATAGGTTACCGAACTACTACGAACTACTTGGTTACTTACCAATCTTGACATCCATGACGCGTTGCTCTAGCATCATCTGCGCCAGATCCTGTAGCACTATATGCTCCTGCTGATTTGCCCTGATAAGTGTAATGGGTTCATCCGAAGTAATTGATCACGACAGTATAATTGCTGCAGAATATTCACCAATATTAAGATTCATGACGCATTGCTCTATCATCCTCTGCGTCAGATTCTCAAGCACTAAGGACTCCTACTAACGGCACTAATAAGTATAATGGGTCGTCAGATTATCCAGCACAATATACTCCTGATTACGACCCTGGTACGTATAATACGTTTGTCTGAAGTATTTCACCACGACATAATAATTATTGCAGAATACTCACCAATCTTGACGTCCATGACGCATTGCTCCATCATCCTCTGCGTCAGATCCTCAAGCACTATGTACTCCTGCTGATGGCCCTAATAAGTATAATGAGTTCGTCCGAAGTATTTGATCACGACAGTATAATTATTACAGAATACTTACTAATCTTGACGTCCATGACGCATTGCTCCATCGTCCTCTACGTCAGATCTTCCAGGACAAAATACTCCTGATTATGACTGCGGTACGTATAATACGTTTGTCTGAAGTATTTAACCATGACAGTATAATTATTGCAGAATACCCACCAATCATGACATCCATGACGCATTGCTCCATCATTCTCTGCGTCAAATCTTCCAGCACAATATACTCCTGATTATGACTCTGGTACGTAGAATACGTGTCTGAAGTATTTAACCACGACAGTATAATTATTTCAGAATACTCACCAATCTTGACGTCCATGACGCATTGCTCCATCATCCTCTGCGTCAAATCTTCCAGCACAATATACTCCTGATTATGACTGGTACGTATAATACGTTTGTCTGAAGTATTTAACCACGACAGTATAATTATTGCAGAATACTCACCAATCTTGACGTCCATGACGCATTGCTCCATCATCCTCTGCGTCAGATCTTCAAGCACTATGTACTCCTGTTGATGGCCCTGGTACGTATAATGTGTTCGCCCGAAGTATTTGGGCACTAGTTTGCGCAATTCCAGTAAATCTGGCTCGTCAGTAGTTTGTAGGCGAGTGTAGAAATCTACTTCGCGCTGCTGACATGGCTTCAGGATGGGCTTGAGTATTGTCCCGTTGCTGCATTGGAGAAGGCCTGCATGGCAAAAGGAATGTCTGTGAGGGATCTATCTATAATCCTAGTGATCTATACCTTGATGCTTTTAATCTTATCGTACCGGTATGGTGAGAAATATTTGAATGTCTTATTTCGTTAATTTTCCTTTGAAGCTGAAAAATATGTCCCTTGCCCCTCGTTCACATCAAGATGTAGTACATATGTTTAACAATTTTTTATACCTACAATAGTGTCGATTCTGGTCATGATTCTCTAAACTTAAAACTAAATTTAGCATCAGTCTCTCCTTTTCATTCACAAAAGAGAATAACAAGGATAGACTTTTTGTTTGCATAATTTAACATAAGAAGAAGATAGAAAGCCTTTCTTGAGTTTGTTTCGCCGGTTCTTCTCAGAAAGGTCTCCCAATTTTGGAACCGGTGGTAGTGTACGGTAGTTAGGGTCAAATAAATAAACTCAAAATTACAAAAAAGAATTTTAAATAAAATACTTTATTAAGTAAATTAAATAATAAATTCATACATAGACAATAAAACTTTAAAAATCGAACAATGAAATAACCGAACGCTCAATAAAAGTCTTTCGAAGGTAGCTCGACAAATTAAATAAAAGATTAATTCTGACGACGTAGCCTGTAAAGGCTACGAAACGTCAATAAATAAATAAAGTTTCGTGCATTAACCCGTAAAAACTAGTTTTATATAAGGAAAGACTGTTGTCTTTAAGTTTAGGTTTACAGAATCATCCACACCACTGTTTTTTCCACATTTATAAACAAGTATTATGCAATATTTGTATCTAGCTTATTGGATAAACAAAATATGTGAAGTGAGCAAGTGATTTATGCTTGTAAGATACTATGTTATCTGTGCATGTTTAAACGAAAGAAACAATGTTTTAAACAGTCACAACAAGTATTCCAAAGTATTGTGTAAAACTACTATATGACTATTTTGTTGGGGTTTGCATTACATACGTTTACACTAAATATCTCTCATCGGGTTGGCATAACAACAAAGGTACAGCTTAGGGTGCTTAAAGAGAAAGGAGTGGCGGCATATCAGATAGTTGCAGTCGAGATATAAACGGGATTTACACTACCCAATTTTAAGGGCCCAATCGAAAGGGTAGGCGTGGCCCCTAGATAGGGAAGCAATTATTACACCGCGCTGATCGCCCTAGATCGGGTCCCTTAATCTCTAACTCATGTAACACCACCCTTAGACAGGGTAAGGGTCCCTTAAAATTGGGAAGTGTAAATTCCCTTTAAAGTATTTTACAATACGGGTATTTTAGATGCGAGGTAGATGAACACTTGAAATATTATTAAAAAAAGGAAAAAATTAATGACTAAAATTATATTTTTAATATCAAAGTTTAACGAGGAATTAGATAGATAGAACGTCTGTATGGAAAGTAGCTGTAGGCTCCTTTTTGTCATGAAAATAAATCTTAAAGGGGGTAAAATGGGGCATGAAATTTTGTATGAAAAATACAATTAAAACACGCAGATGTAGACGCGCTAGTATTAACTAGTACATAATAAGATGTAGATTTTCCAGAGTCACAGATCGAAACAGATAAGTCAATAAGACTTGGCGTGCCAAAAGGAAGAGAGTTGAGAGTCATTTGAGAAATAGGTATTTGAAAAAACTATACTATAGTTCACGGGAAGTACCCTATAGGAATTGATTCCCGTGCGAGTTTCGAAAATTTGCAGCATAAACGGCTGTATCTTTAAATTGCTTTGGCTTAGAAGTTTGATTTTTTCACAGCTCTAAGGGACAGTAAACCTGAGTATTAGATATGGATTTCAGTTTCATACCTCCACGCGTTCCTGAGAAAAACGGTCTTGACAGACGGACGGACGGACAACAAAGTGATCCTATAAGGGTTCCGTTTTTTCCTTTTGAGGTACGGAACCCCAAAAATGGTCGAAGTAAGGTTCTTAGTTCTTCAATGGTCATCTGTTGTAGTCAGGTCACCTAAAAAGGTCTGTGAGATGTCCTGTGACAGATAATTACCCATATATTTGGAGTTGTTCGTGCTCTGGTGGCCGGCCACCTGCAGGTCGAAGGCCTGCACGCCGAGGTCTGACGGCAGCACCAGCGGCTTCATCTCCACGCCGCGCCGCCGCTCCAGGCAGTAATGCACCTGTACCACACCACAAACCAAGGACCATATTATCAACTCCTTAACCACAGGTACTATATGGAAATTAAATAAATATAAATAAATATTTGTAACACTCACACCAATTAGCCTAGCCCCAAAGTAAGCACTGTAAGGCTTGTGTTATGGGACTAGGGTAACGGATAAAATACATATACTGTACATATATAAATATATTTATAAAGAAATACATATTAAACACTGGAGTACAAATGCTCGTATTCATCACACTAACATCTGCTCCCACCGGGATTCGAACCCGGGACCTCTCGAGTCGGCGACACCATGAAACCCGGCGTACAAACCACTCGGCCACGGAGGTCGTCAATTTGAAAATTCCTGACAAAAAGACTGAAATTTCGATGGACTTAAAAGATTTTGTATTCTGTTTTAGATAACTTTACTTTTTTTGTGGGCCTGTGTAATTAATTAACAGTATCGCAATCGTTAATAATATACTATGGCCCTTGCCATCTGGCGGGCCGTAGATTTGATTGCCACCCTTTCATATTCAGAAAGTTAAAAATCCAATGAAGTTTTGGAAACCTTACCTTTTGCAAGAAACTGCAAGAACAAAGCTCAAATTTCAGCTGGTTTACCTCTCTTATCAACCCACACATCCTCACCTTGCCAACCAGCACAAATGGTTCTTCACGGGTCGTTTAAAGTACTCCGAGTTGTAGGTAAGTAGGAGAAAACACAAGAGGTGTATTCCGAAATATACACCTACCGCTGGCCAGCGGTAATGACGTCATGATTTCGACGCCATATTGACTGGACTATCGCCTAACGGAAATACTATGGAAACGCTAACGCTTTCGATTTTATATTGTTATTTCTGACCGACGAAGGTTTTCAAATTCCTCACGCTCATTTTTTTTAATATTGTTAATACCAATGCAAAAGAAAAAAAAGAGCGCGAGGCATTTGAAAACCTCAGGCGGCTAGAAATAAAAAAATCAAATCTTAAGCGTAAGCGTTTTCCAAAGCATTTCCGTTAGGCGAATGGCCCCTTGATGTAGTAGTAGTGTTGTCAATATGGCGTCGAAATCATGACGTCATTACCGCTGGCCAGCGTACTGGTGTATATTTCGGAATACAGGGTGTATTTATATATTTATTGCCGATTATGAATTTCGCCAGCAAACAGCGTTCGCTCTTGAAGCGGGCGTATATGCTGTCTGTATATATATTTATATAATATGAGATAATTATAACCGACCTGGTATATCGACCGCTGCCGGCGAACTGATGTCCTCGTCTTAGATTTGGACACATCACTCATTTAGTTGACCACCTGGGAATAAAGAATCAGGTTTACTCATCAAAGTAAATTAGTGAGTAATCACTAATTTACTAGTAATTAGTAGTAATACTATATCTATAATTACGGTTAAGTCGTTAAAGGTGAATCAAAGCGATTCATTGTAAGCCTGTTTGGTGTAGTGCTAAAGAGATCGAGTTTGGATCTAGCATGAAGAGATGTTCGGCTGAAATCGTTGAAGTTAAACAACTTTCGAAATGGTCGGTTATTGGATGGGTTACCAAAAATCTTCTAACTCGAGTTCTTCCGTGCTTCGGAAGGCACGTTAAGCCGTTGGTCCCGGCTGCATCTGCAGTCGTTAGCACCCGCCAATCTGTTCTGGGCCTGCGTGGTGGGTCATGGCCTAATCTCCCTATTCCAAATGCCCCAGCAGTGGGACATTAATAGGCTGATAATGATGATGAGACTATTTGACATTTTAAAATCACGAAGCCCAAAGGCATCGATTACGTACCTACGTTCTGTTTGTTCCACATGTTCCATCTTGGTCCCACATGTTCCATCATGAACCAAGTCCCATGATGGGACATGTGGGAATATTTTATCCCATTAGTTCCATGGGACCACTCAAAAACTACGAACTATGTAAAAAATCAATAAAACTATCTGCTTGAAAAGTGTTTTATTAAATGATTGATGTGCATAGATATGTGATTAAAACTAGTTAATATTTTTTTATGTAAGCATTCGAAAGATGTACTTCAATTAAATACTGATTTCAAATCCATATGCGACACATACGTGCTTAATACTAAATGCAAATAAAGTCTTTAATTAACTAATCTTTATTAATTAGGTACCTATCTATGTATTTTAATATGTATTAACATATGGGTATTTCCATGAAACTTTAACCTACTGTGATAAATATTAAATTGTGTTATTAACTAAAACAAAAACCATATCATCATCATCATCAGCCTATTAATGTCCCCACTGCTGGGGCACAGGCCTTCCCTATGGACGGAATAGAGAGATTGGGCCATGACCCACCACGCGGGCCCAGTGCGGATTGGCGGGTGCTAACGACTGCAGATGCAGCCGGGACCAGCGGCTTAACGTGCCTTCCAAAGCACGGAGGAACTCGAGATAGATGTTTTTGGTCACCCATCCAATGACCGACCACTGCGAAAGTTGCTTAACTTCAACCATCGCAGTCGAACGCGCTAACCACCTGCGCCATCGAGCTCCAAAAAAACCATATCCGGAGTTCTAAATAAACATACTCTCAAAAATTTGTAAAATAAAAAATTGAGCTCTTTTCCAAAATTATATAAATTAATCAATTTATACGTCAACCAATTTAATTTTATTTAATTAATTAAGGGTGCGGGTTCGAGGCCCGTCTGCTGCCTGGTCCGCGTGGATTTTTTTCTAGTTATATTTTCTTTAGAACTATTTAAGTTTTACATAAAAGAATCTTACTGTATACTTTCATCGAAAATTTTACAGGTGTTTCACTGAAAGTCATCTTGGTCGCATTTGGCGATTTTCTAAGGTCACACCACCCGTTACGCGATTCATGTCATTGTAAAAGTTTTTCATTACAAGTTTCTATATAGTACCCTTAATACGAGTTTAAACTCACGAAAACTATCATAGTTTTCGTAATTGTAAATTATGTTTCTATGTCCATTTTGGTGAAAAGTAACCAAATATACTTAATATTTAAGAAGACGCAAATGATTTAATGATAGAATTTAAACACTGTTTATTTGTATTGAAACGAAAACAATAAAATCAGTACACTTAGTACGAGTACGAGTTTTACAATTACGAAAACTATCATAGTTTTCGTAATAAAAAACTATCATAGTTTTCGTAATTGTAAAACTCGTACTAAGGGTACTGATCTTGTTTGAGTGAACAATCTAATTTTTCGTACTATTTTTCTGTAATTTGACTGAACCTTATTATCTTGAAAAAAACGCAGTGTCAGTATCGCACCCGTTACAATGGAAATACCCATATGTATTACCCACCTATATCAAAACCGTTAAAAACTATTAAGTGCTATCTCTATAATTGTTTATCCAATAACAATTATCTAAGTCAATGTAATAAATAGTTATAAGTTATGTAGACGCGGCCATAAAACTCCCATTTGCAAACAATTTAATAAAAGAATTATCTCGATGAATAAATTAAGGAGCTCGATGGCGCAGGTGGTTAGCGCGTTCGGCTGCAATCATTGAAGTTGAGCAACTTTCGCAGTGGTCGGTCATTGGATGGGTGACCAAAAATCTTCTATCTTGATTTCCTCCATGCTTCGGCGGGCACGTTAAGCTGTTGGTCCCGGCTGCATCTGCAGTCGTTAGCAGCCGCCAATCCGCACTGGGCCCGCGTGGTGGGTCATGGCCCAATCTCCCTATTCCATCCATAGGAAAGGCCTGTGCCCCAGCAGTGGGGACATTAATAGGCTAATGATGTATAAATTATGTCTTGAATGGGAATCGAAATATAAAAGACTCCATAACGTAAAATCGTCTAATCAATGCTTGACGCTAATGCATACATCAATTACAAATACAAAAAATGCGAACTGTTAACCTTTTCCGCCGAACTCATAAACAGTTAAACCGATTTTGATTAACTTTCGTAAGTAGATAAAAGGGACCTCGGAAAAAAACAGTGAGTTTAGTAATATTGTCAGGGAAGTTAGAGCTTCCAAAGCTTCAAAGTTATAAAATTTCTTTGTGAAATTGATATTTCTACATTTAATTAGGTACCTACTTAAGCAAAAGTTACTTTTTTACAATTTTATTCATAAATAGTATTTACAATATTCTGTCTGTGTGCATTCATGGTAGCCCAAGATCGATCTGAGTGGCGTGCATTTGGGGAGGCCTATGTCCAGCAGTGGACTAGGATAGGCTGTTTATTTATTTATTTAATAGGTGTACTTACAGCTAAACATATAAAAACATTAAAAAAATAAAATAATACTTATTCATATATGTCATATGCAAGCCTTTACAAGCACACACAACATTCAATTGAAAAATGTACAATGTAATTAATAATCAATAATAATAAATGGAATTAATAATCAATTATCAATAAATAATCAATACAAAATAGTGCAATTAATAATCTATGTTTGATTTAAAATTACTAATGTATGTCAAATTGATGCAAAAAATACTAATATAATGTCAAATTACAATTGTTATGATATGTTATATTTTTGCTCGGGAGTAATATAAATCAACTAGCGGCCCGCCCTCGCTTCGCTTCGGTGTAGAGCTGAAGTGTAGACAACAGTTTTTGTTCTCAGGCTTGTATTATACACAATGACATTCATCTATGATTCTTCTTATATCTGCATGCAAAGTCTCAGCCCGATCGGTTTAAAATTGACAAAGTTTCATACAAACTTTCATTCCCTATCTTATCCCCTTGGGTGCAGAATTGATCAAAATCCTTTCTTAGCGGATGCCTACGTCATAACATGTACCTGCATGCCAAATTTCAGCCCGATCCGTCCAGTGGTTTGGGCTGTGCGTTGATAGATCACTATGTCAGTCAATCAGTCACCTTTGAGTTTTATATATATAGATAACAATAAAACAGAAAGTTTCATATTATATTAATGAAACATGGCGGAAAAGTCTATTCTCACAAGTTGTGGATTATTTTCAGCGGAAATTATCAATTAAAACCTTATCCGAAATAAATCTTCTATTTGGACACAAAATTATCAATAACTCTTAAAAATTTTAATGAATTAAATTTGTAGATAAAGATAAAATGCTTGATAACATAAAAGTGACGTACTTAGATAGCAAAGTCACACAGAAATATATCAAGCGTCATTTGAGACCTTTTAATAGGGTATTTGACAAGTTTTAGAAAACGATCTCACGTTCTTGACTAATGTTTACGGAGTCCGTAAAAAGTGGATATTCATCATTCTGTTGTGTATTTCAGTAAAAATAACTAAATCAAACACTCCATTTTCAAGTTACCGCGAAAACGTTTTTCTGGACAATATGGCGCCTTACTAGTGTGTGACGTCACACGACTGTTATTTAAACGTCAAACGATACAATGTAATGTCACTTTAACAGGAAATTTACTTGCGTGTGACGTCATTTTAGACTCCGCCAATCCCAAGCATTTTTGGTCACGTGACAATAGATAAGAAAACCATTATCTTTTTCGTGGTTTTTTAGTAAAATTATGAATATTGTGTTTGTAAAAATAGTAAAAACCCCTGCCAATATTCATTCTAAACACAGATGCTAACAATTGGCAGTTTACTTTTAATACTGTCAAATACCCTATTTTGAATTAAATATATGTATCTGACTGTATTGCTTTATAAATAAAGAAATAACGTTCGTAACCCTCTGCAAAATCCACAAGAGGTACCTATCTCTCTTCTCCATTGACAGTGCTACGCTACACCATGACATAGAATAGTACCCTTAGCATAGCACGAACCAATATCGAATTCCATACAAAATTTGACAATGACATTTCGGACTCACAAACGTTACGAATACGAGGATGTTTTGGACATAGTCGGTGAGTGTGGCAGTTACATAGGTAATATAGAATCAGAATTTTATTTGTGAAACGTAGGTTAGTGTATACATGGTTTAAATTTTTTTGAAGTTATACTTCTTTAGGCGCGTTATGAAAAAATGATGAGAGTGAAATTTTAAGATGCGCGCACATCACTGTAACACAAAATTTTAACAGCATGAAGTTGGTCGCTTTAGCGACCAACTTCATGCGTTACTTTTGTGGTTACCGCACATTAAAAAAATCTACCAACAAAATAGAAATAGAATCTCTATTTAGTGGGTGTTAACGACTGCATTGTGAAGGCCTATCAAAAGTATTTATTAATCTGGAACAACGGAACCAAAGCGCGATTCAGGAGACTACAGCGCCATCTCTTGACCATTGGTGTAGTAGAACCAAAAACCACATATTAATTTTTTGTAATAAAG